TTTATGGCTCTCTAATGTGTTTGTCATTTGATCTATTGAGCTCTTCATTTCATTTTGATTTCTCTTAACTATCACACTTTCCTGTTCTACTAGTTTCTGCGTTTCATTTTGATTCTTCCTTAAAATTTCATTTTCATGAGAGAGATTTTCAATCCTGTCCAATAAGGATTTCTGTAGTTCAAGGATTTGCTTTTGAAAACTTCTAAATGTTCTTATCATAAATTTTTTGAAATCCGTATCTTGCATTTCTTCTATCTCATCATCTTCATAATCTTGGTTTGGGGTGTTTTATTTGGAGGCATCATAGTGTCATCGTTGATCTTGTTCCCTCGATTTCTGTGTTTGTTGCTTGGCCTAGTTAATTCTTCTTTCATCACTGTGCGTTTTTTTTTTTAATTTTTTTTTTTATTTTATACTATGTCCGTATTAAGTGGACTGCCTGCTGTTGGAGGAGCCTTGGAGGCTTGAGATGGGTGTGGCCTGAGAGCTCTGCTTGGTTCTTCCTGGTTACGGGTGTGCAAAGGTGACACCCTCAGGTTATGTGTGGTAAATCTCTCTCTATTTATTTATTTATTTATTTATTTATTTATTTTTTATTTTATTTATTCAGGGGGTAAGTAATACCGCACGGCATGGCTGTGCAGAATTGATGGTATTTAGCTTCCAGTCTCTGGCTTCTACCCAAAGAGTCTGTGTAGGCTCCTCTGGACTCCCACTGGGTTGCCTAGGCTACTGAATTGTAGTGACTCAGTTCCTTAGCTCTCCCCTGTTGATATGTAAATCCAGAGAGGGGGCCTGCTCTTTGTCTCTTGGGAATTCTTCAAGCCTTGCAGCCTTGCAACCTTTGCAAGGCTGGGAGAGAGAGAAACCCCCAAGCTTTTTTTTTCCTTCTTTCCGGTAGTGAGTCTGCTGCACTTTCAGGCCCCCCTCCAGATTCTGACCCCCGTTTCCCCGCCAATGTCTCGGGTTATTGAGCTCACCTCCCCTTCCAGCACCGATGTGTGGACTCGGAGCCCTGGATGTCCCAACTCTCCCCGCTGATGTCTGTGTGACATGCACTCCCCTTCCTGCACTGACGCGCAGACTCTGCGGCACCCGCGGCTCGGCTTCCGCGTGGTGGGCGACCTTGTTCTCCCAGTAGGTCCTCCGATTCACAGCCACTCGATCTAGAAGAGTTTCCTCTGCAATATTTTCCTGGTTCTTTTTTCTGAGGCTACCGTAACTCCCCTTTTATTAAACTAAATTTTCCCGGACTATCGGTGTGCGCCCTCACTATTCCGCCATCTTGGCTCTGCCCCCTTTCTGGTTGATTTTTAAAAATTACTTGTATTTCTTTGTTCAATCTCTGTTAGATAATTAAATTATTTTTCTGTTAGAAAATTAAATCATTTGCTTGTTGAGTTTCCTTAAAACAGCTATTTTGGGGGGCCGGCGCTGTGGTGTAGTGGGTAAAGCTGCCACTTGCAGTGCCGGCATCCCATATGGGCACTGGTTCGAATCCTGGTAGCTTTACTTCCTATCCAGCTCTCTGCTGTGGCCTGGGAAAGCAGTAGAAGATGGCCCAAATGCTTGGGTCCCTGCACCCACATAGGAGACCTGGAAGAACTTCCTGGCTCCTGGCTTTGGATCAGCCTAGCTCCTGTCATTGTAGCCAATTGGGGAGTGAACCAGCGGATGGAAGACCTCTCTCTGCCTCTCCTTCTCTCTCTGTGTAACTCTGACTTTTAAATAAATAAATAACTCTTTAAAAAATTCATCTGAGCACTTATAAATATCAGTTACTATCTTGTTGGTTTCTGGTACCTTATTTTGTTTATTAGCTTCGATCATGATTACCTGAAAGTTGTTGATGCTTGTTGGCACATGATGGCATAAGCACATTTAAAGACTAGGTGCTCCCCCCGCCTCAGTGTTTTAAGTCTGGCTTTATTTGTGGCTGTCCTTCCAGAAAATTAAACCACCTGCTTATTTTCTCTGAGTCAGTGGGTGCTTGGGCTACGTTAGCACTAGATGGCACCCAACAGCTAGATTTGTTGTAAGTGCAACATTGTGTTGTTATGGTTTCAGCCCCAGGGGATACCCAAGCCCAGAGTTTTCACAAGCACACAGTTGATGCATTCAGAACTAACTGGGGAATTATCTATGACAGAAAAGTCTGCACCTGCAAATCCCTTGCTGGGGCGAGGCTAGGCCAAGATTCCTAGTCCTGTGGCCAAAACGACTACAAACTGCATCGCCCCTGAGGCCCACAGCTCAAGACCATTACAGCATGAGGTATCAAAGCCCATACTTTTTGGCTGTCTGCTTTTGAGGTAGACTCACAAGTGAAGCTGGCTGGAATATAAGCATGATCAACTGGCACCACAGGATTCTGCTTGGCCCTAGGGAGGGTCCAGAGGCTCCATTTGCAGGTCCTGACATGTGAGCAAGGACCTTACAAATCTGCTCGGTGTTGGATTTAACTAGCACAGTCCTGTGGTTCTGTGCTGTCAGTCCACTTTTTGGGGAGGAGTGGTAAAGGCAGACCCTGGCCACCCGGGCTGTAGCTCTGCTGGGTCCCACCTGGGTCTCACAACCATGAGGTCCTGTGAAGTCATGGGGATGCACACCAGACTCACATAAAGCTGGTGGTGACACACACCAGACCAGGTCCATCCCAGCAAGACATCCCAGCAAGTATGTGCGTGATGCTGGGGCATCTGGTGGCTCCATTAGTTTTAATTCATTGCCAAAAAATGGAAATACATCCATAGTTATTTCATAATGTGCACTGTCCATGAACATTTTGAAGACCCCTTGCACTTTTTTTTTTTTTTTTTGGACAGGTGGAGTCATAGACAGTGAGAGAGAGAGACAGAGAGAAAGAGAGAGAAAGGTCTTCCTTCCATTGGTTTACTCCCCAAATGGCTGCTATGGCCAGCACTGCACTGATCTGAAGCCAGGAGCAGGGTGATTCCTCCTGGTCTCCCATGTGGGTGCAGGGGCCCAAGCTTGGGCCATCCCCCACTGCCCTCCCGGGCCACAGCAAAGAGCTGGACTGGAAGAGGAGCAACCGGGACTAGAACCCGGTGCCCATATGGGATGCCAGCACCGCAGGCGGAGGATTAACCAAGTGAGCCACAGTGCTGGCCCCAGAAGAACCCTTGCACTTTAATGTTTTTCAGTGCCAGATACTTCTCAAAGTGCTTTTCAAATACAGTCATAATGATGTTACTGTCAAAAATGGACTACTATATTTTATTAGGTATAATATATAGTGTGTCTACACCTGCTAGTAGGTTTTTGTAAGTGCATGTATTGCACACCAATGAAACTGCCTAATGATACATTTCTCAGAATATATTCTGTCATTTAATGACTCACGATTCTATTGGCATAGTCATTGTCACACAAGCCTATAAGATAGGTTCTTTTCTAGCCCCATTTTGCAGATGACACTGAGGCAACGCAGTAATTTGTCAAAAGATATTGCTAGTAGGTGGTAGAGTTGATATGAATTAATTAATTGTTTACTAAGTATTTGCTATTATAGTATTAATGAAAAGCAATGTTGAGTTGCTAAGAAAGCTTACTCTATTTCAATTTTTGCACTTATGCTTCGCAAAGCTATTTTTTTTTTTTTAACAGGCAGAGTGGACAGTGAGAGAGAGACAGAGAGAAAGTTCTTCCTTTGCTGTTGGTTCACCCTCCAATGGCCACCGCGGCCGGCGTGCTACGGCTGGCACACCGCGCTGATCCGAAGGCAGGAGCCAGGTGCTTCTCCTGGTCTCCCATGGGGTGCAGGGCCCAAGCACTTGGGCCATCCTCCACTGCACTCCCTGGCCACAGCAGAGAGCTGGCCTGGAAGAGGAGCAACCAGGACAGAATCCGGTGCCCCGACTGGGACTAGAACCAGAGGTGCTGGCGCTGCAGGCAGAGGATTAGCCTATTGAGCCGCGGTGCCGGCCTTGCAAAACTATTTTTGAGTTAACCTTTTGAATTCATGTCCAAGTTTACTCTGTATCCCTATTCTTTCCTATGTTGTACATTTTGGGTTTGTCATTATTACTGAAATCATGATGCAAAAGCTATGATGATGCAAAAATCCTATATGCTCACCTGACATATTTATATTAATAATGCTTATAAATAATAATATATAGAAAAACTAACTGCTACTATAATGTAGCGAAATCTCATAAGGGATTCAAATTGTGCTTCATTTGAGCAGCATCTACACAAAAACTTCTCTAAGAACAAGAATTCTGGGGTGGGAGTGGGTTTTTGGGCTAGTGGTTAGGACGCCGGTTTGGATAACAGAGTCCCATATCACAGGGCCTGGGTTTGAGCCCAGATCTGTTCCCTCTTTCCACTTCCCGCCAATGTGCACTCCGGGAAGCATCAGGTGATGGCTCCTGAACCTGGGTCCCTGACACTGACATGGGAGACCTGGACTCAGCCTGGCCCAGACCTGACTTGTTGTGGCATTTGGAGAGGTAGGCAGCAGATTGAAGATTCTCTCTCTCTCTCTCTGTTACTCAGTCTGTCTCTCAAGTAAATAAATGAAAAATTCTGTGTCAAGTGCTTTACTTGGCAGTCAAGGCAGTTAGAACACTGGTTAGGATGCCTGTACCCCGCATGGGCGTGAGTCCTGGTTTGATGCTTGGCTCTGGCTCCTGAGCCCAGCTTCCTGGTAATGTGAACGCTAGGATTCTGTGGTGAAGACTCCAGCAGCTGGGCTCCTGCCACCCCTGTTGGGGGCTTGGGCTGAATGTCCAGCTTCTGGCTTTGCATCCCAACACCCTACTCCAACCCAGTGCAGATGTCTGGGGAGTGAACCTGTATATGAGTGCTCCATCTCTGTCTTTCTCTCCGTCTCTCAGAGGAGCAAATAGCAGTACCAAAACCAACAGAAGTTTTTTCAGTTTTCATCATGAGGCTTATCCTCCTTGATAGACACAAGACCATCAGGACAGGGTGTGGACTTGGACAACCCATACCCAACCACACCCAAGAAATACCTGTGTACTGACGCAGCACTTGGCTCAACTTCTGGAAGTGATAGCCCTGAGGGCTGAATTTGAAAATTATGTCATGGTGATGCAAGCAGTTGTAGAAACGGTGAGATAGGATTTTGTCCAGTTCAAACATTGCTTTTACATAAGGATCATGGGTGCTAGAAGAGAAAGAGAAAGGTGGGACAGTGTGTTAACAAATGACCTAGATAATATTGAACAAATTTTTTATTTTTTTGCTTTCTGGTCACTGACCTGTTTGTCTGGCAGTTGGTCTCCTTGCTAAAAGCACATTTCATGATTATGTCCAGGGCCATCAAGTTGATGTGCTCATGGACCTCCACGGCTGTGTCCTGAGCACCGCCAATCTTCTCCCACTTACCCTGGCACAGAAGGTCAAAGTCAACATCATCATCAACACCATCAACAGTCTTCCTTGTGGTGAGGACTCCTCCCTGACCCTGCACTCAGGATCCAAGGGAGACAAGCTTGACCCCACGCTAACTGAAGGTCAGGTTAGTCAGCTGTGTGCCTACCTCGTTCATGTGCTCAGCTGAACGACAAAGAGCATGCAGCAAATTGCAGATCTCGTAGACGGCTGAGTTCAGGATTGTGGCCTTCGGGCATTACCATCACCCTGTCCATTAGAACCCACCATCTCTGATTCAAGGCCTAAAATTACAACAGGTCTCTCCAGGACGTCCTCCATTTTCAATCCCCAAATTGCTAGCTACACACCACTACTCTCAACCACTATAACCACACTCAAACTTGGGACAATAAAAAAAGAAAACACTTTAGATTCATTTTTAGGAGACAGAGAAGCTGGGAAAAGAAGCGGCTGTAGGGAGTTGGCTCCCAGCAGGGCACACTGTGTCCACTTAACGTCCTCACAAAAAGAGACCTAGCCACGTGGCCTGAAATGCTTTGCTTTACTTTTAAAAAAACCATTGCAAGGTCCCCAGTTGAAATGTACTTGCCATTGTACAAATACACTGTACTTTCTGTAAAAATCAAAATAAATTGGCATGTTTCAGCTCAGTTCAAGCTACATTTGTTGAGCACCTATGGGTGCTAAGCTAGCTGTTGAGGACTTGGAGACCACAAATAAAAAGCAAAGGGGGTTTTACAAACTTTGGCCTAAGTGTCAGTTGTCCAGTCCAGTGACTTGCATCTGCTTTAGCTAAGTTTTATGGGGGTCCAAATGGTGAATTTAGAAGAAGGGCAAGCAAGGGTATCTTGAGGCACCCCAGACCCTTCGGCAGGAAAGGGACTGTGAGAGGCTCTCGGGAAATGTGAGGCTGGGAATCAGGCACGGCTCCTGGAAATGCAGATAAAACTGAAACCCATCCCTGGCCGATTTTAGGTTGTGTTGAACACTGAACAGCACCAGACCTGGAGGAAGATGCTTGCCCCCCTCTGCAGCCTCTACTTCCTGCTCTCTAGGTCTCAACCTCCAGAACCCACACAGATATTTTCACCACAATCCTGGTAGACTTCCGGTTAAACTTGCTTTCGTGAACTTGACTGAGAACCCAACCCGGGGGCAGGTGACAGTGCTTCCTCTAGGAGCAGGCACGCGTTTCTCAGAGGAGGGGGAACTTTGGGTTTATTCTGTGGTGCTTGAAGTGCTTACAGTGGAACTATCAATGAAGTATTTGTCTGCTTTTAAGATACATACAATTTTAGAATTAAAATCTTTGTACACACAGAGATTTGGAACAGAGTCAATTTACAAATCAGGGACTGTGACAGGGTGATTCCTGCACAGCACCCCCCTGCCCTTCCAGGGAAGCCCACATCTGCCCCTCTCATTCGGACATGCACCCTCCGCTTGGCCCTTCATGCTCCCTGGGCAAATCCATTCCAGCCTCCGGAGCTGTCTTCATGCCGACTCACTCTGGCTAGAATCTGTATTACCTACATGCTCAAGCCCAGCTTACGCTTCCTGGTAAGGTTAGTGTCCTTTGGGTTCCGAAGCTGCAGTGGCTTTTCCTAGGCTCTTTACCTGTCATTTACACCACTTTCTGGTTTACTGCCAGAGTATCTCAAAACATATTAAAAATAAATCTTTTTTAAATCACTCCAAGAATGTAGCAAAGGAGTATACAATAGACACGTATTGTCCAGTGGCTACTTCTACACTGATTAATTTCTATACATTGATGTTTGATTTTCACTGTCTGTTAAACACGCGTCTTGTACGGTCACTTACCAGCATGGTGTTCACAGAGCGAGCCATCACCGCAACGTAGGTTTTCAGGATGTTAGAGTGGAAGCCCGGAGTCAGAAGGCGGCGATGCTGGAACCACGTGGGCCCATCTAGGTTCCCGAGTCCTCTTCCTTGAGAAACAGAAGGCACAAAACCTCTTGCCATTTTATTAGGTAGATGAAGAAGGAGCGATGAGGACACAGACAGCACGGACGGCTGTGAGTTGCAGACAGCAGCGCGGTGCTCACATATTGGGACGGCTGTTTCTACTCTTGCAGAGTGAGTTTCCAAGTGTGAGTGATGAGAGTGCCAGTACTGAAACCACCAAGTACTACCACATCATAATCGGGTGAGGTACTTACCCTTCTGAGGCTTGGTTGTCTCAACAACGAAATACGGTAATAAGTGCCTGCTTCACTGGTGCTATGCAGAGTACATGAAGGTGTATACATAAGGTGCCAGTGCTCCCTAGCTCACAGTCAAAATACAACAAACGTTCATCGCCTGTCCACTTCAAACTGTCCCACTAACCCTGCCGTGAATGTGGGTGCCCAAGGAATTAGAGTCCCCCCAGAGAGCCCCTCCTTGAGTCCTGCTCTGTGAATGGCACAAAGTGGAAACATGGCTAATGCGGTACAATCCTTCTAGTATAAGAGTGGTCATTAAAAATCTGATTTTAAAGGACTTTGCAGTTTATTAACACACAACTGACACTATACTCTTCTGTGTGCTTATGACGCGCCAGGCTCGCGATGTGTGGTCTGGTGCTGGTACAATGCCGGATCCTACAGCAAGTGCTGAAACAGGTGTTTCTCTTAATCCTCACCATGGCCTAGATATGGGACGCTCATCTTAATTTTCAAAGATGAGGAAACTCAGAGAGAGAGAGAGAGAGAGAGAATGACTTTTCCAAGATCACATTCAACTGTCTCCTGGGATGGGCAGGATTGAAATTCAAGTGGCTCTGAATCCAACACCCATATTCTTTCATTTAATTCCCTTCTTGTCTGACATAAATCCCAACTATGTGACTGAGGAGTTTAATTTATTTGCTCATAGTGCATTGCCAACTGTCCTGTAGAACAAGATTATTCTCTTTCGCCTACAGAAATAACAGAACCCCAAAAAGAAAGGAAAAGATCCAAGACAACAAGAGAGAAGGAAGGGTAAAAAAAGAAAGAGGGAGTGAGGCTGTCATTTGGAAGGAGGAGGACAGACTCACAGATAAGCTGCCTTGAGAACGAGACTTTGGGGGAGAGAAACGGACGGGGAAGCTTTCCAGGAACTCGAGTTGGCTTAAGGCTGCTCTGAGCCTCCTTTCCCGCTCCCGTAACTTTTGGGACAGCCGTACCTTGCTCCTAATGAAATGAATGCAGACTTGAGTTTCTTTGGCATGCTCCATTATGGGAAGGGGGTTCCCAGGGGCAGTGGGTTACACCTCTCATTTACACATACGTACCAAGACATGGAGTCATGAACTTGGACAGGTACTGGGACTTGGGATCTGCAGAGTCAAGCAGAAGAAACAACAGGTGGCATTAGACGGAGTGCAAGTCAGCAGCTGAGGTTGGGAAAGGGCTTCTTCACGCGCCTGCACCCAGCACAAAGCGTGGGCTCATGGAGCCCAGTGTTCACACCCCCAGGAGAGACCGCAAATCTGGGCCAGGTGCTGGAAAACAGCAAGCCCGGGAGGCAGATGGCTACACGAACCTCAACTCTTCCCTGGTCCACACTTCCTCCAGCAGGACCAGAGATCGCCTGAGGGTTGCAAAGTTCCTAGAGTAGGCATCGGGATAATGTGCACCTGTCTTGGAAGGCAGATTAATTATTAGGTCAGGGGCTGGCAGAGAGCAGAGAAGAAGGCACAAATGCCTGTTGGAGTCCTTCTCATTCTAACATGGAGGTGGGTCACAGTTCCTGTCCTTAGGAGGCAGACTCCTGAGCAATCAGGTTGAGGGCACTGGGAAACATGGAGGCACCAAGGGAAAGCCTGCATCTTTTGTTAGGTTTAATTAGTGGCACGAGTGCAATGGTGCCGGAAAGAAGATTAAGAGCATGAGACCTCCGTTTTGCAAAGTTGACCAAGCAAACACTGGATGTTTTAGTTTTGTGTTAGGGAATAATTCACAGTGGGAGCCTTGAGAAAGGACTGGGCTGGGGAGGTCGCTGACTCACATCCTAAAGGAAATGTCATTGAAAGAAAATACGCAGAAAAGCAAAAACAAAACCTGGGTTACAATCGAAAGGTTAGAGTGATGAATGAATAATCCAGCATTCAGATCTATCTGGCTCTGGGGAGGCAGGGCTCCTTCTGCTGTCCCCTGAAGACTTGTGCTCAACAGAGGGCACGGAGTGAGGGGGTGTTGCTGACACTGAAGTCACAAACCAAGGCAAAGGAAGCCCTGGGCCGGTGTGGAAATGCCAGCTGGGCTTTAATATACGCTGGGGGGTGGGAGAAGATGGGAACCACCTCCTCGTGGAAAGGAAACCCTCCCCATACTTGCCCCAGGGTCTCTTGCAGGCCTAAGACAAGCCTTTGCGACTGGATCCTGCCTACAAGTTGTGTGCACGTCACTCCCGGGAAGACCAGGTCTTGGATACTGGCCCCTTTGCTTACCTGTCCTGCTCAGAACCGTCTCTGCATACTCTGGGTCATAGATAAAGAGACAAGCCTGGAAGGGCCCCACCCAGCAAGGGAAAGCACAAGGGTACTTGTCCATGAACTCTTCCAGCTGCTCCATGTTCTCGTCCTGAAGAAACTGCGGTGAAGAAAAAGTAAAGGGAATCAGAGAACCTGCCAGGTGGGCCTCGTCCCCGCTCACAGCCGCGTGCCGGGTGGAAGGCCCGCCTAGGGTCCCACGGGCAGACGAGCCCTGGCCCCTGGTCTGGAAGTGGGTGAACAAGTTTGCTCTGGGATTTCGAATGTCAGGGCATCATTTTCCGGACAAGGTCAGTGCACATATCCTCCAGTGTAAATATCTGTTGTCCCCGCAGGGCCAAGTCACTCTCAACGTCAGTTCTCCCAACCCTCTCTGCCTCACCTGCCAACTTCACACACTTACTGGAAGTGGAGTCTGAAGGCTGAGCACTTGGCTGTGTGGGAAGCCGCTGTTGGCATCCTGAGCACAACCCAGCAACCAGCTTACCATTCCTTCTCCCTGCTACTCCATTTATTGATCAGTGATTCTTAAGACCTAGGAGGGAATGCTTCTCTCTAAAAACTTGCCATTTCTTTGGGGCTGGTGCTGTGGTGCAGTGGGTAAAACTGCCACCTGCAGTGCTGGCATCCCATACGGGCACCGTTCAAGTCCCGGCTGCTCCATTTCTCATCTAGCTCTCTGCTATGGCCTGAGAAAGCAGTAGAGGATGGCGCAAATGCTTGGGCTGCTGCACCTGTGTGGGAGAACCAGCAGAAGCTCCATGTTCCTGGCTTCAGATTGGCCCAGCTCTGGCCACTGTGGCCATTTGGGGAGTGAACCAGTAGATAGAAGACCTCTCTCTCTCTGTAATTATGTCTTTCAAATAAATAAAATAAAACTTAAAAAAATGCTAGTTGTATCCATAAGGCAAATCCAATTCCTTTTTCCTACAGCAGTGGAAAACCCATTTTGAAGGTGTGTGAAGCTTGAAGTAAACTCAGATACACAACTCTCAGTTTCTGATCCTTAGACGTCAGAGTGCAAATACTACCTCCAGAGAAGACCTTTCTTCTTTTATAAGCAGTTTACCAATGGCTCATTGCCAAGATCTCTTGAAATCACTGATGTGATTCTTGGATGATGTGGGAGCCACTGTGTATGTTTGGGTGTGCCTGCCCACACTGGTGGCAGGACTGTGCCAGAGAAGGAGAACACAGACTTTCAATTCCTCTATTCCCACCATGAACTCTAGTCCATGCAGGGTTCTCCAGAGAGTACAGGGTCTCTAGCAGATCAAGACACTTGCACTGTGGTTTCTGAAATGCTGCTGATGTTCTCACAATAAAGCCAGTGACAAGTGCCCAGTGATGACCGAGAGTGGTCATTCCTAGCTGCTCTGGTTTGAACATAATTTGGCTTCTGAACTCATATAGAAACCTGTAAGTCATAAGCTAATGATACTAAGAGATTGGAAACTGGCTTCAATTACGGTGTTTGGGAGATGGGAGGCCCTTAGCTCATTGGGGGTGTGCCCTCCAGAGGTAGGCTTTTTTTTTTTTTTTTTTTTGACAGGCAGAGTGGACAGTGAGAGAGAGAGAGAGAAAGGTCTTCCTTTTTCCGTTGCTTCACCCCTCAATGGCCGCCGTGGCTGGCGCGCTGCAGCCGGCACACTGCGCTGATCCGATGGCAGGAGCCAGGTGCTTCTCCTGGTCTCCCATGTGGGTGCAGGGCCCAAGCACTTGGGCCATCCTCCACTGCACTCCCGGGCCACAGCAGAGAGCTGGCCTGGAAGAGGGGCAACCGGGACAGAATCCAGCACCCCAACCAGGACTAGAACCTGGGGTAACAGCGCCACAGGTGGAGGATTAGCCTATTGAGCCGCGGCGCCAGCCCAGAGGTAGTTCTTAGGACAGAGTTGTTTATAAAACTGAGATAGAACCAAGATGGTGGCTGGGTAAGCAGCTCCAGTGACCCCCTCCCTGCAAAGACACCACTGTGAGCAAGCGATATGCTGCCCCTGTCAGGAGCTACAGAGGCCAAGTGACAGACCATGGTGTCTTGTGATCAAAGGGAAAGTCCACTGAAGAGAGCAAGAATGAAGGAGTTGCCTGTGGTGCCCCTACCACATAGAGACAGCGCTCACTGAATCCCAGTGCCAGACCCACTGTGGAAACACAGCTGGACTAAGCTCCCTGCCCACCCCGGCCCCTGGCCCGTTTCTGTGGAGTGAATATTTGGAGTCTCCCCAACCAGGTGACTTTTGCTACCCTTCCCCGAGTCACCAGCACAAGACCAAACTCCAGCCATGCAGAGAGGCCAGGAGAGGAAACAGGATAATTCCTTGGAGCTCAGATCCCAACCTACTGCACTGAGAACCACCACCTGATAAAGCCCAAAGACCTCTAGCCCCTGGCCTGTGCTCACATCTAGACCTGCACAGTGCATAGCTTCCAGACTAAGCCTCTAGATTTGCCCCTTGTGCTCCAGGGGGTCACACTTATTTAGCATGGTCACTGCTGGTCTCTTGTGGGCATTGTGTACAAGCCAGGTGACTCTGTAGACAGCGGTGACTGCGGGACCCAGGTGCAATGAAAAGACTGATTTTATTACTCTTCTCCAGCCCAGGCAGACAGAAGGGGCCAGAGGACCGTGTCTTGGGACTCAGTGCTAGGCTGGTAAAGCCCAACACTGGGAAGAGTCTAATGATTTCCATCTCAAGGCAGGTGCCTGTGCACTTTCTCTCGATCAGAAAGAGACCTGCACCCTAATGGACAGGCTCTCTTTAGGCTGGAGTGCACCCCAAGATTGCACAGGGCCTGGTGACTGTGAGTCCCACGTATGACCAACCTAGGACTTGCCTAAGTAGCTAAAAGGTTGCCTGCAACCAACCTTCTTACAATCTTGGTTAGAATGCAAGCAATCATAGGACTGTTTTGGAAATCAGTCCCAGGCTGGCAAAACCAAGCCCTGGGCAGATCCCAATGGTCCATGTTCTCAGGCCACTGACTGCAGGCAGGGCCTCTGGATCTTCTTCAGTATCCCTCAGCGTTCTGTAATTCTAGTTGGGCAGTCTTATACCCAGCCAACAACACAAGCGGATGACAGGTGTGGTGGGCAATGCACCTGCCTCGGCAGCAGACAGACCAAAGCAGAGTGAGCTTTGTTGCTACCTCCAGGCTGCTCTAGTGCTGCTGGGCTGAGGGCTCAAGATGTGATCTGGCATCATGGCCTTTGTGGACACAGGACAAGGTGTCTGGACCAGGAAGAGGCTCATAGGATGAACTACTCCCTTTTAAGCACTTTCCCAGTTTATGCTGGACAATATATAAACTGAAAATTTGGGAAAAATTTAAGATTGAATCAGTAAAAATACAACAGTGGATCTGGGGCAATTGCAGCTTAGGGTGCTATTTAGGGCCGAGACAGGGGACATATCTACAGGCTCAGAGAAAATGACCAGATTGCTTGAGTTTCTAGAAGGACATACATAAATGAAGCCCAATTACCATAGCTTAGTCTTCAGTGCCCAGATGATGTTGTATAGCAACAAATACCAGGAACTTCCAGGGAAACATGAACTCACCTAAAGCAAAATAAGGTTCTAGAAACCAGCTGTCTAGGGATTGAAATTTCCAAATTATCTGATGAAGATTTCCAAATAGCTGTTTTAAGGAAATTCAACATCATTCAAAAGAGCACAGAGAAATGATTCAATATTGTAATAAATTTGGTAGACAGATGGAATTAATTAAACAAAAATCAAGCAGAAATCCCTCTGCTGAAAGTGAAATTAAAAATGTAATAGAAGGCATCAATAGTAGGGGGCCAATAGTGTGGTGCATCAGCTTAAATTGTCATCTGTGATGCTGGTATCCCATATACATGCTGTTTGTATCCCATATATGTGCTGGTTCAAATCCCAGCTCCTCTACTTCCTATCCAGACAAGGATACAACAAAAGAAGAAAACCATCAGTTAATATCTATGATAAGCATAAGTGCAAAGATGCTCATCAAAATACCAAGAAACTGAATCCAAAATCACTTTAAAAAGATCATTCACCATGATCAAGTGGGATGAAATAATGGCTCAACATATATATGCAAGTCAATTAATGTGGTAATATGAAGAACAAAAAAAAATCATATGATCATCTCCATAGATGAAAAAAAGGCATTTGACAGAATTCAACATCCATTCATGATTAAAACTCTTACTGAATTAGTTATAAAAGGAATGTACCTCAACATGATAAAGGCAGCATATAAGAAGCCAACAGATAACATCATATTTAATGGGGGAAAAGCTGGAGGTTTTCCTTCTAAGACTGGAACGACAAGGCTGCCCACTTTCAGCACTTCTAATTGACATAATACTAGAACTCCTAGGTAGAGAAATTAGGTGAAAGAAAAAAATAAAGGACATCCAAGTTGGAAAGGAGGAAGCGATGTTGTCACAGTTTGCTTATGATGTGATCTAATATTCAGAAAATCCCAAAGACACCACCAAAAAGCTGTTAGAACTAATACATTCAAGAAAGCTGCAGGACATAGTCAATGTCCAAAAAGTAGCATCATTGTACACCAATGGTGAATCATCTGTGAAAGAAATCACAAGGGGCCAGTGCTGTGGCATAGTGGGTAAAGCTGCCACCTGCAGTGCTGGCATTCCATAAGGGCACCAGTTCGAGTCCCGGCTGCTCCACTTCCAATCCAGCTCTCTGCTATGGCCTGGGAAAGCAGTAGAAGATGGCCTAAGTCCTTTGGCCCCTGCACCTGCATGGGAGACCTGGAAGAAGCTCCTGGCTCCTGGCTTCAGATCAGCTCAGCTCTGGCTGTTGCAGCCAATTGGGGAGTGAACCAGTGGATGGAAGACCTCTCTCTCTCTTTCTATGCCTCTCCTTCTCTCTATATATAACTCTGATTTTCAAATACATAAATAAATCTTCAAAAAAATGTTAAAAAGAGAAATCAAGAAAGCAATTCCACTTTCAATAGCCCTCCAAATACAACATATAGGAATAGATTTAAGCAAAAAGTGAAATATTTGTATAATGAAAATTATAAATCATTGATGAAAGAAATTAAAAGGCATCCCATGTTCATGGACTAGAAGAATCA